GTTCAGTGAGGCCAGGAAGGAGGGATGCAAACAAAAGCGTTATTAGCATGTTATTTGGCTCTTAACGGGTAGAAAAGATTCAAGATTCTTTTGGCACAGTGGTACTTCTTTTCCTCCAAAAAAAAGAGAGGAAAAAGGACTTTAATTGAAGCCTGCAATGTTGTATAAATGGAAGATCTAAGTTTTAATTGAAAAATAATTATAACCACTTAATCATTTTAAATGAGGGCTGTAATTGCAGTCAGTTCATAATAGCCAAATACAGACACTTAGATTCCCGCAATAAAGCAGGGATGGTACAGCTTGATTTGCTAATAGCTCTTCCACTTCTTTGCTCTTTTGTCTCAAAGATTAATTCAGGCAAGGGCTATTAGTGCCGTTAATTGGTTCTGCAATTTAGACCTTGTGCTTGTGAATGAGTGACTGATGCAGACCTATCAGCCAATAATGTGAACACTTTGTCAATGTGTTTCTCATTGTCCAGCTGCACATAACTCCCCCGGCAGCTCCTCTGCCACCCAAACCCAGCTCCCCGGAGGGATCAAGAAGAGTGGGTCTCCTCCGGGGTGAGGGATTCACTTAGCTTTAGATAGGTCACCTAGATGCCTTTGAAATTACGTCCGGCTTATGAATAAAATAATTAGGCAGTCAGGGCGTCCTCTTTGGCAGGGACAAATCCCGTATTCAGGAGCAATCTTCACTGTGCTGGAAGAAAGAGGTTCAATGGGGTTTTGACATTGGTGAGAAGACATGTTAGACAGAGAATGGACATTGCTGGTGGGAATGGGCAGGGTCCCACAAGGAGCCCCCTTTGGAGGGGTAGTAGCGATAACTGAATCACCAAAGTCACGGAAAACAACACAAGCTGTATTCTCAAACAGGTATTATATATCACTTAAGCAGTCAGGGCATTGGTGATGGGCAGTGGGAACAGCTGGTGGGCACAGCTGGCAGGACTGGGGCTAACAGGAACAGCTGGTGGCATCCTCCCTGACAAGGCCCCTAGAAAAAAGACCTAATGACCTAATGAAGGCTTTGCCCTTACCATATCCATTTTGTGGGAGAAAACTGACTGAGATGAAGCTATGACATTTAGTCCTAACTATCATTTTAGGCCCAGCACAAGTGAAACTGCAGTTCTAAATTCATTGCTCCATCCTCCTGTTCTGTTTATTTTTAAATTGGTCTTCTCCCAGAACTTTTTGTTTCTAAGTTTTGTATAATTTATTGTTTCTTTCCTTATATTAATTTATTGATATTGTTATACTAATGAAAAACTACAGTATTTATGTACTCCATTACTTATTCATTTTTACAGTTTATTTACCATTTTCCATAGCTAATCTGAGGCCATTTCACAGAAAAAGCCAAACCCACCACCACCACCACGTACTGAAAATCTCACTGTTGAGTGTTGGCAGGTTATTTTCCTCCAGGGTTGTTTTATCAGCACAAGGAAGTTTTTCCTGGTTCCACTTCAATCTGGAAAAAAACAGAAGGAAGACGCAGAGCCAGGCAGTGCCCTGGGCAGCATGGGCAAGCATCACTCAGCAAGCATTACGTTGTCTCTCCCAAGGTCTCTCTTGAGGTATTGTCCTGTAAAAGAGGGAAGCTGGCTCTCTCCACACATCTCTTCATCGACACTTCACACAGCATAAAGGCCATTACACCCTGTAAGACAGACAAGTTCCAGCTCATCTGCCCATTGTAATATCTCCTTCAACTCCAGCATCTCTTATCCTTCCTCCTAAGCTGTTAGTTTGGAAAATTCACATGGGTTTGACACCCAGGGAAAGACTATGAAAACGGGGTGTCCCTGGCTGAGTGTCACCTTCCAGTGATACCGCTTTTCCTGTCTGCAGAACCACCCAGTCCATTTGAGGTAGAAGGTGGGGAAAAGCATCAAACTGCTTTTTGAGGTTTGGTGTGAGCACCAAGCACGTGAATATTCACAGGCACATCTCTAGGCTTTAATCTTATTTGTAGCATCAAATAAATGTTTACAACTATGCTTCTGTAGAGGTCAGCTCTGGTGCAGTTCTTTTTATCCTGAGATGAGATGCTGTGAGATCGTTGACCCTATGGAGATATTTTAATCTCCTGATGTTTTCTTCATACTGGAGGTGGCAGCTATTCAGAAGGGGTTTACACTGGCATTCTTCCATTATTTGTTAGAAATTAAAAAAAATTTTATCTTTACAGAAGGAATTTAGCAGACCTAGGGAAGAGGTTGGGATGATCTTAATTATTCTGTTTAAGATAGTAATTTAAGTAACAAAAAAATGAAGAAAAGCTACATTTCACCCTCCTTTTTTTTCCTTTTTTTTTTTTTTTTTTTTTTTTTTTAGGTTGTTTAAATTTGCTCCCTTGTGATGAACAAATCCTGCTGATTAAAAACACCTGTTTTTCATACCAAACCTTATTCTGTTCACTGGAGAGTGGACTAGTCCTTGCTGTGGGGAAAAACACAGCAAGGAATAAACTTCTACGGAACACCCAAGTAGGGCAGGATGCATTTTATTTCAGTGTTGGGAAATCAAGGAGAAATTCCTTGGATGAGAGGCACTGTGAAAAGCGAGCAGAGGAGAGAAAACAGCAAAGACAAGAGCCCAGGATAGTGTTTGATCCTCCCAGATGACCTAGGTGAGAGTCACAGATTACACTTCAACATGAGAAACAGTTGTTAAAGGTGCTGGTGGTGAGTTTTGAACGAGGAAAATAAGTGGTACTCATGTCAAGTTGGTAAGTTTAGGTGGCTGAAGGGGTTTAGTCCTTGATTATTTTCAGTGTGAAATGTTGTCAGCAGATAAAACTGTCCTTTTGGATACAGTTATGAAATTTCTGTTTGTGAATGATACTACTCACACACCTGGACCCTACTCTTCTGGCTGCAGTATATTGGCACAGTCATTGAAATAAACGGAGTGATGATTTGGCCAATATCTGTCCCCTTGCATGTATATAATGCTTCCCACTCAGGGATCGAGGTGTACCAAAGAGAAATGCTTTGTTCAGTCCTCTCTTGTTGATAGAATGTAAGGCAAATTTAGCCTTTTAGTTAATTTATTGATAACAATCCCTGGCTGTCATGAGTCTTTCCCATCACCAGGTGATCCCGGTTGTGACAAATACAGGGAGTGTATTTGTGCTCTAGTCTCAGGCTCTATATTTAGCTATGTGATACTGGAAAAGCTTTCTGTGATTAAGTTATGTTGACCGATACTGAAAGTAACTACAGCCACGACATGCAGCAGGTGAGGTGTGTTACCAGAACCGGATATTGCTATGTCCAAAAAAGGGTCTGGGATACAGAATGAATTATGAAAGTGTACATGAATCACCAGTGCTGTTCTTTTGGGGGAAACAAGGAAAATGGGGTAACCATTTAATGTTTAAACCAGAGGACTGTTGGTGAGACACAGGGCATTATCTTTTCCCTGTTAGGTGTTTTCTTTTGAACACTATTTTTCATGAACGATGTGTAACACACTTCAGTATTAGGCATAAAATTTTCAGAATTGATTTTTGAGACTCTGGAATAAATCATCTCGAGTTAGAGTGATATGTCCCTCATGGATGCTCTCAGATGGCAGGTCATAGCTTTATGAGAAGTAAAGTGGCTCTGCTTTGGATGTGGGAATGGACTGGATGACTTTCCAAGCTCCCTTCCAGCTTGCTTGGTTCTCTCAAAAAGGCAGAAATGAAATAATCCCTAGAGGCCAACCACTCTGTTCACAAAAGAGGTTAGATCTTCTTCAGAAGCAACTTCACAGGGAAGCCCATCTGCACGCGAGACCAAGCATCTGGGAGAGACCGAATGGTCCTTGAACAAAGGTGAATGTAGCCAGATGACAGCGACCCACTTCTTCATGCTCCCTGATGACCTTCCACTTCTACCACCTAAATGTCACCCCACCAGGCTCCATTTCTTCTGGCGGTTCTTCCTGGACCCTCCACATGCCATGTGTGAGTTTGGCACTGCCAAAACAGGTCTCATCATCTCTTCCCTCCCATGGAGAGCATCTCTCCAGCGACATCCCCCTCTCCAACTGCAAACAGGTTGCCACCAGTGGAAAACTGGACTAGGAAGGAAGTGGTGAGGGATGTAGCAGAGAGGGCAAAAAAAGACACTACCCAGCAAAGTGATTTTCTGTGATAAGGTCTCTTTGTCTTAGTAATACATAGCAGCATGTCTGCCTTGCCCTCATTTGTTGTCCTTCCAAACAAGTCACATTAATATATGGATGAGGGAGATAAAACAATAGCGAATGAGGATCTACTTTTGTTTCTATTTATTTTTTTTCTTGCTCTGCCTGCCAGACTTGGTCCTTGCACAGCAAACTGCAGGTTCACACCATCCACTTCTTAGAACTGCTGCCTTTCCTGTGGGCTCCCAGCTTGACCTCACCCAGCAAAAAGGTCCATCTGAACATCAGTGCACTGTCCTTTGCTATATGCTATCCTCTTTTATACACTATCCTTTGCTTAAATGTGTTGGTTGAGCAAACATCCCCAGATAGAGGCATGCTAATTAATGCCTCTTCACTTGGCTCAAAAGCATCGTCCCTGACAGGAAATTATTTGGTTCTCCATAATTTTTATGTTTCATCCAATTTAAACATCTCTGTGCTTAGTCTCCTGGAGCGCGGAGTTTTTTTCTGCAGAAGATCTCCACTGGCTGTTTCAGAGGTACCTGCTGGTCACTCTCTACCCTGTGCTGGCTGTACCTCTGCCTGGAGGGAATAAGGTAAACAAAGAGCGAGGCGTTCACGCCGTGCGTAACAAATGGCTCTTGGTACTGAGCAAGGAAAATTATCTCACCGAGACAAATAAAGGGAAAGGGTAGGTTTGTATGGTGAAGACCAGACCTCTCCTGACTCCCGTCCGTGACGTAGGCTGTGCCTCCAGCTAAAAGTCCCTTCTGTCCTGGCTGCCTGCCGCAGACGTGGCTTGTGGAGGCTTGTGTGTGCCGAGGACCTGCCTACCGAGCGCTTGGCGCCATGTCTGTGACTATATGCCAGTCCATGGGCTTTGTGGTGTCTGCTCTAGGAATAGGAGGCATCATCGCGTCAACATGCATGGACCAGTGGAGCACCCAAGACCTGTACAATAACCCGGTGACGGCAGTGTTCAACTACCAGGGCCTCTGGCGCACATGTGTCCGGGAGAGCTCCGGCTTCACCGAATGCCGCAGCTACTTCACCATCCTGGGGCTGCCAGGTAGGGCTTGCTGGGTGCGAGGGCAGAGCCATGGGCATGTGCCAGGAGCTGTGCTTGAAAGGTGGTGATGGGTAAGTTTTAGTGCAGAGTGGGGAACCCAAATTTTAGCCAAAAGGGGTCTGATGTGCTCACCCTGTTTGGATGATAGGTCCCTTGGAGGGGGACCTATCTGAAGCTGAACACCCTCCCATGGCCGAGCTGAGGTTCACCAAAACTCATTACAGTTGATTATGCATCAGGTTCCTGTGGTGTTCTCCAGGCAATACACCTGGAGCAGTGACTGCTCCGTGGGGTGATTCATCCCCCATACCATGGGTGGCTTGCATATATGCTTCTACCCCAGCTGCATGGCTGTGCGTGGCTTCCCACCAGAAACCACTAATATTCTTGGCATAAGGGAAGATTCTTTTCTAAGAGGATATGTCACAGTTCAGCTCACTCTATTTCTGTACAGGCTAACATCACCAAGCTGGATTTCTCCCTAATTCTTCTTTGGTTCCAGCTTTTTCTTCCTCGGGTATCATTCCTGTCCTGGTTGTGCCCAGAGTATCTAGGGGTGCAAACAATTAGGTTACAACAGGATTATCTGTGTTTTCTTCTTGCCTTAATACAGTGAGAATAAAAGGCACTTAGACTATTATATTCATCTCGTGTCTGTGCTTTGACACAGCAAGAATGGATGGAAGAAGTCAATTATATCAGCGAATCATTGCAGAACTTCTGCAAAATGGCATTTTGAAAACACACAGAAATAAGCACTGTGCACAAAACCAGCCTCTTTCACAAGTAGTCTGTGCAAATCAAACCAGTATGACCCAATGCAGTTGTGGCCTCAGACACCAGTAGGAGAGATGTTTCATTCCTCGAGCTGTATTTCCATGTCACTCATCTCTGGATCCTGGTTCCCAGCTGGTGCCTGGCATTAGCCGTACTGCTGTGTCCCCATGCAGGGGCCAGGGAGGCCTTTGAGCATCTTCTTCCTGCTGGAGTCATGGCTTTGAATGCCTCTGTTGTCCACACAGACTCTGGGGTGCAGACATACGTTTTTTCTAGAAGGACATATGCCTGATCCTGCCTGTGCATCCGGTTGTGCTGCCCCTAGCAAAAGCTGTGTGCGGTGGCAGGTATGAGTGACTGAAGGGTGACATCCAAAGAAGGACGTTTATGCAGGGCTATCGCAGTCAGCAAAGCTGAACAGTTTCACCAAGGGAAAACGCGTGCAGCAAGGGGCAGGACAGGTTGGCAAAACTTGACTCCAGCAGGCTAATTGCTTGTAGGTAGAGAGATTAAAGTTGCCATATAGGGAACAAATAGAGGTGTAAAAAGCAAATCCTCCCCACGCACACAGTACACCCGTAACACTCAGTTCTTCAGCTCTAAAAGCTTAAAATTACAAAAAATGTAAGTCTATAGCAGAAGCAATTAAACTTTTCAAGTGTTCAGCTCTGGGAACTACTTTAATCTTTGAAGAAACCAGAGTACTTGAGATCTGGGGGGTTTTGTTCTTTCAGAATGCCTCCATCATAAAAACAGTGCTTTTTTTTTTCAATTCCCAAGCTTCCAGACTGGTGTCTATAGCATGGGTATTAGTTTTCTAAAATAGAAATGCACAGCAACGTTGGGGGGATGGATTTCCTTCATTTAACAGATGAGCTGTGGGAGACTGGTCCATTCCTACAGGTCCCAGCTACCTCCAGCAGCCTCTGTGCCTCCCTCCCAGTTGCAGACAGAAACAAACATGTTATCCTAAATGTCAGGGTTTCTAATGAACCAGTCATCTTAGAGGGGAATTACCACGTGTGTTTGCTGGGCTTACTGCTGTCGCCCACAAAAAGGGATTTAAAAAAAAAATAAAATCCAAAGAATAAAACCACAATCTTTAAAAATAAAGGTGGGTGGAACTCTGAAGCCCCCAAAGTTGCTGTCCTCATCCTCAGTGGTGTTGGAGAGTCTGTATCTTCCCCGCTGGTGTGTAGGTATATGAGTATTTATGTGCTTTTGTTCCAGCAAGATCCTTTTAGTGACTGGAGCTATCAGCACTGTCCTAAAAAGTGCGGTGGGGTTTTTTTTCCTCTCCTTTCCTTTCTGTTTAATGAACAGGGCTTGCTCTTCTGAAGTCACTCCCTTGCTCTATCCACCTGTCTCCCTGTTTTTCCCTCCTGTTATATATTGTCTGACACTTCCAGTCTCTGGAGAAGCTGGTGCAAAAACAAGTGCACCACTGCTGTGCTTTATAGATTGGCTCCGTCTCCTGAATCCTATGGGCATTTCTTCCCACCCACCACCAGCAAGGGTCAACTCTATCCCAACCAGAGTGGGGAGAAAACAATGCTAAAAGTCAAATTAGTAATTTGCTAAGATATTTAAACGGATCATCCCAGTGTTTATTTCAACTGCTGCACCTTGATCTCCATTAAACCCCCCTTGCTAACCACACCATAGTTAATGGTTTGTCAGCATTTCCATTATAAACCCCTATTTATTATTCTGACAATGGCAATTTATATTGGGAACAATAGTGCCGGAGTGAATAAAAATAATAGGACTCTAGCAAAGCAGTGAGGTGACCTGAGTACATCAATGAAGTTTTTGGTTCTGAGGACTCTTTTTTTCTCAATCCCTTGCTCCCATAGCAAAGATTAAACTTGTCTTGCCCATCATCTATCTTCAATTTAGTTGGGAATTTTAATTTCAAATAGATTGAGGAAATATCAAGATAATAGATGAAAACGAGAAATAACACAGGTAGTTTATGGTCTCGCCCTCGCTGCTCAGCTATAAACAGTCTCTGGTGAAATATCTCACTTGAGAACTAAGCCTGTTTGTTCTTATTTTGCTTTCTCTTATTATTTTTTGCCACTTGCTTTGGTGTGTCGGCAGACCTTAGTGTGATTGTCTGGAGGACGCGATCTGAATTTGAACACACTGATAATAGACAAATAGCAGGAGCTGAGCTCTGGCAAGGCTGGTAGTTTTACCTAGTGCAGAAGTCACAAGGCACTCCCTGCTAAAAGGAACATTTCCCAGTTGCTTACAAGTTTGTTAAAACACAGTAACATGGGCAGTAATTTTCCTGTTGTATGGCTTGGTTCCTTTTCCCCAGACCACTTCAGGTAGACCGGTTCAGCCATTTTTGAAAGGACATTTTGTTCTCAAGTTAAAACCCCTTTTGACCCTTTCAGAAGGCTGAGGCACCTCTCTGCTGTGGACCAAAAGGCTGGTGACTTGAAAAATAAGAATATTTTTGTTTTTCCAACAGCAAACTTTGAAAGTCTGAGAACATCCTGTAAAACTTCTCCAACTAATAAAAGGGGTATGTGCTGCTAGAGAGGTCAGAGTAAAAATAGCCCATGGGAATGTAACCATGACTGTCCAGACTTTGGCATAAAACAACGACTTTCAGTTTTACTGGTGCAGAGTAGCAGAGATGTGTAGCTGTTCCGTGAGGAGAATTCATGTCTTGTAAGTCTTAATGTTGGTGTCTCTGTTTTTTTTTCTTCTATATTGATGTCCTGACAAGGTTTTCTTTTATTTCATAGAACCAACACACATTTTGTAACATAACCTTAGTAAAACCCTTGGTCTAGAAATTTTGGAGACGGGGAAGCTCACTGCCCAAGGAAACAGCATCTCTGCTCCCTGGAACCATTTCACGCCTAAAGTTTGTAAGGATTGGGACTGCTAATTGCTGAGTCATGATCCTCTGCTGGTCATGGCCACCACAAAATCTCTTCCAAGCTCTGCTTGCTATTTAAATTCCTTTAACCTAGTCAGTTCAGATCAAAATTTTGAAATGTCTGCAGGAAACTGCTGTAACCTGCTTAAAGTCTTTTGGGACCAAGTTTCATGCACAGAAGGGCTATGCACAGGTGGCTCAAGTGGGATGGAGACTTGATATAACCTACCAAGGGCGTGTGTGAGGCTGCCATGGATTTTCGCTCACAGCAGGAGCTGAAGGAGGTGTGGGGATGGGGAAAGAGCTAATGTGAGACTCTTGGAGAGTTCTTGGGCACTCTGATCACCAGTGAGTCTCAGGGTGAGGAGAGGTGGCAAAGGGCCCTGCAGGGGATATTAGGAAGCTATATGCATGTATCACATCCTCGCTACTGTCTCATGCCTTTATACCACAAAAACATACACATGAAAAATAATCCTAAAGGATCTTGGCTGAGGGACAGAAGAGCAACAAGGCAAGAGGCTGTGGAGATGTGGGGCTGGCTCACAGGCATGTAGGGAAGGACGCAGCTTTATGCACCCCAGCTCTGCTGAGGGACCTCGAAGGCCCCTCTGGACTACCTGAAGACCAATGGGGTAGAGTGGGTCTGAGATGGGATGGGGGCCTTCCATGACACACTTTCCCTGTTGAGTTTCAGAAAGGTCGGTCAGCCCTTCTCATGCTATGGACTGGTGGACCATACACTCCTGGAGGCTGTGGCCATTACAGCAATGGAGGGACAGAAAGAAAAGGGTGGCTTTGCTTTGTTTCAGTCTGAACAAGCTGGAATTGACTGGCAGGGTGTGAACTATATTTGCAAATTTTAAAGTAAACATGAGCTGTAGGTGATTTTTATGGGAGAGGCAGTGATAACATTCAGGTGTTGCAATGGGCCCAGTGAACGGTTTTGAGATAATATAGAGTCAATGCCTGGATAGATAAAGCAAGTATGAGCTGAAATAAAGGTTGCAGAGGGGAGCAGTCACAAAGTACCCTTCCTTTTCCTAGTTTGGGTAAGCCCCTGGAGATCTCCTAATACTCAAAGTGGAAGCCTGTTCTCTGCTCCTTGGTGAGGAAGCTTGGCCTTTCCAAGAGCTGTATCCCCACCACATCCCTTCCTTAGATACTACTCAGCATTACCATGTGGTGTGGCAAGCCCCCTGGCCCAAGTCTTCAACCACCTTGCTGGAGACTGAGCAAGAGGCACATGCTTGGGGAGAGATCCCCATCCTTAAACCATTCCTGGCTGTAGACATCTCCCAGGAGTGGCTGGATATGAACATCA